ATTTGAAGACCTACTATGTATTCCAGAGTGAATCTTTACATAAACATTTTACTTAAATTATTCATAACTCTCATTGTCCTCCTCACCACACATCATCAGGGGGCGGGGCGGGGCGGGGCGGGGCGGGGCGGGGCGGGGCGGGGCGGGGCAGTACAATGTATAGTCTCGGTACTGTACCGCTGGGTCGTTAAGCGTTTGCAGCCAGACTATGTAAGAATAACACTATACTCGGCTACATTATGAGGGATACTCTACAACCAGACGTGGGCTACTACGACTCTTACATCACCTCTTCTCCCTCATGTTGAAGGCTAAACATTCTCCCCACACACACACCTCACACTCAATGCTACTGGCTCACAATTTACCCTCTGTTGTCCTAATTACAGCTTCCTGGACCACGTACAAGTTTATGATCACTCATTCGCCCCTCCAGTCTCCTCTTCCTCCAAGTTTCCCCCAAACACACATAAAAGTCCATGACCAGATTCGAAGTTTCTCCTTGCCATCATCTGCGTCACAACAGTAGCCTCTCTCTCTCTCTCTCTCTCTCTCTCTCTCTCTCTCTCTCTCTCTCTCTCTCTCTCTCTCTCTCTCTCTCTCTCAACCCAGATTGGTTCTTGAAGTTCTTGGTAATGGAAATATTGGTCTTGGTCTCCATTATTTGTGTCCATTTTAGGGTCAGTTTTTGGATATCCTACAATATGTCGGGAATTAAAAGGAAATATTGGGATTTCTCAAGTTATATAGGATTTTCTTTTGCTATCTTTTGAGGTTTCTTACGCTATCTTGGGTTTTCTTAAGACATCTTGGGTTTCTGACTATCCTTCAAGGAAACCGGAATTAAGCAAACACATTTTATGTTGATTCATTCACTCTTGCTTACCATATGAAGATTAACCCACCCTAAGCTTATTTCACCTGATGTTTAAATACCAGAACGTTACCTGGTGGGTTAGGTTAGGTTAACGTTAGGGTGGGTTAAGTTAGGTTAGGTTAACGTTAGGATGGGTTAAGTTAGGTTAGGTTAACGTTAGGATGGGTTAAGTTAAGTTAGGTTAACGTTAGCATGGGTTAGGTTAGGTTAACGTTAGGGTGGGTTAAGTTAGGTTAGGTTAACGTAAGGGTGGGTTAAGTTAGGTTAGGTTAACGTTTGGATGTTAAGTTAGATAGTTAGGTTAACGTTAGGATGGGTTAAGTTAGGTTAGGTTAACGTTAGGATGGTTGGTTAGGTTGGTTAACGTTAGATGGGTTAAGGTTAGGTTAACATTAGGACGTTAGATTAAGTTAGGTTAACGTTAATGAATGGGTTAAGTTAGTTAGGTTAACATGGGATGGGTTAAGGATTAGTTAGGGTTAAGGTTGGGTTAACGTTAGGATGGTTAACGTTAGGATGGGTTAGGTTAGGTTAGGTTAACGTTAGGGTGGGTTAGGTTAGGTTAGGTTAACGTTAGGTGGTTAATATGTGGAATAACCTGGGGGTGCTAATCTTCACGTGAGTCATATAAACAAAGAGTCAACACACCCAGTGACAACGAGCTTCATCAGGGGAGTCAGCTGTGTCAGTGTCTATTATTGTCAGCTGTGTCGTGTCAGCTGTGTATGTTTAGTGTGTGTCAGCTATATATCAAGTGTGTCAGCTATATATCCAGTGTGTGTTAGCTATATATCCAGTGTGTGTTAGCTATATATCCAGTGTGTGTAAGCTATATATCCAGTGTGTGTCAGCTATATATCCAGTGTGTGTGAGCTGTATTTCAGGTGTGTGTGAGCTGTATGTCAGGTGTGTGTCAGCTGTATGTCAGGTGTGTTACCAAGGTAAGCGTTACACCTTTATTGCCCCACTACTCTCCCTCCTGTCACGTCTATGTGGTAAAGATTTTTTCGCCTCCAGCAATCTATCGTGAAGTTTTTAGTTCACTGCAACGATCAACTGTCAATATTGGGCAATTGGTTAAAGCGCATGGGCGGTCCTCCCCTCCAGCCAATGGGCGTCAAGTGACTCATATTTCCTCCCAATGAGCAGGAAGGGGAATACGTGTTCATCCAATGGGCGTCAAGTGACTCATATTTCCTCCCAATGAGCAGGAAGGGGAATACGTGTTCATCCAATGGGCGTCAAGTGATTCATATTTCCTTCCAATGAGCAGGAAGGGGAATGCGTGTTCATCCAATGGGCGTCAAGTGACTCATATTTCCTCCCAATGAGCAGGAAGGGGAATACGTGTTCATCCAATGGGCGTCAAGTGACTCATATTTCCTCCCAATGAGCAGGAAGGGGAATACGTGTTCATCCAATGGGCGTCAAGTGACTCATATTTCCTCCCAATGAGCAGCAAGGGGAATACGTGTTCATCCAATGGGCGTCAAGTGACTCATATTTCCTCCCAATGAGCAGGAAGGGGAATACGTGTTCATCCAATGGGCGTCAAGTGACTCATATTTCCTCCCAATGAACAGGAAGGGGAATACGTGTTCATCCAATGGGCGTCAGTCATTGTGATGTCGTTTTTATCAAATAAGAACAAACACGCATACACACACACACTCGAGGACCATAACAACTATAACATGAACAAGTTAACACAAATATTTCAGGCTACAAACTTCATGAACTCCTGAAAACCATGACTCCTAATGACAGCAGACTTACTACAACATTTTAAGATAAAGTTACTCTGCGCTCATCATCTGCTCAAACCATGGCGTCTTGGACTGTGTAAACAAGACATGAAACTGATGCTAAAACAACAATAACAGACTCCAGGACGTGCAGACGATGGCGCCACCTTGACGGCGTTATCTGCTCAATAAGGTAATACCTCCTAAGTGTCCCCTCATAGTAGAAGTCAGTTTTAACAACACGCAGAATAAATACATTTTTTAATAAGGAGACTTAAAATAAAAAGGTTTCAAGTACTGTATATAAAAAAAGGAATAATTACGAATAACAAAAAATTATAAAAACAAATGTATTCGTATCCCGTTTCCTGGTATGAGGGGCGGGGCATTCTTGAACCCGGGGTCAAGGACCTATAAGAAATGTGTATCATAAGTAATCAACACACTTTGAAGGCAATACCACTAAAAGTTCCCTTGAGTAATTGGGGTTTCTACATACCAAATGACAGACACGGACGGATGGACGGACAAACTGATGAATGATGAAGAGTCTTTACAACACACCCACACCCACACCCACACACCACAGACCCACACACACATAACAATAATTAGGAGCAGAGCTACAACCAAGGCTTTAGATACTCCCAGGAGACAGAGACGAGTGTTAGCTGATCAGCTCCCCCATCTCCTCCACCCCACCACCTCCCTCCCCCTCTCCTCTGCCCCTCCCTCCCTCCCTGGGTTCCCCTCCCTCTGCCCCTCCCTCCCCATATGTCTCCCTCCTCTGGTCCTACCCGAAGTTGCAATTGAAACTGGCCAATTTACCAGACACCAAAAAGTTGTGTGTACTTTTTAATCGGTCGTGAGTCGAGGGAGAAGTTTGAAGGGCTTTTATGGGCTAATTTTACTGTCTCTCAACCTGTGTATCTGTCCGTGTATCTGTCTATTTAGGTGTCAATCCATCAATATCTATCTATTTAGTTACCAATCTATCTATCTATTTATCTATCTATCACCTGTCCTTATTTATCTGTTGGGGAAATTGTCAACCAAACCATTTACCAGGGATGAGTCTTCTTCTTCTTCTTCTTCTTCTTCTTCTTCTAACAAGAGGAACAAAGTGACGTCATCATGGTCTTGGAGGACCTTAGTGGCGTCATCATGGTCTTGGAGGACCTTAGTGACGTCATCATGGTCTTGGAGGACCGTAGTGACGTCATCATGGTCTTGGAGGACCGTAGTGACGTCATCATGGTCTTGGAGGACCGTAGTGGCGTCATCATGGTCTTGGAGGACCTTAGTGGCGTCATCATGGTCTTGGAGGACCTTAGTGGCGTCATCATGGTCTTGGAGGACCTTAGTGGCGTCATCATGGTCTTGGAGGACCTTAGTGGCGTCATCATCGTCTTGGAGGACCTTAGTGGCGTCATCATGGTCTTGGAGAACCTTAGTGGCGTCATCATGGTCTTGGAGGACCCAGTGGCGTCATCATGGTCTTGGAGGACCTTACTGGCGTCATCATGGTCTTGGAGGACCCAGTGACGTCAATGGCCTTGGAGACCTAGTGGCGTCATCATGGTCTTGGAGGACCTAGGGCGTCATCATGGTCTTGGAGGACCTTAGTGGCGTCATCATGGTCTTGGAGGACCTTAGTGACGTCATCATCGTCTTGAGGACCTTAGTGACGTCATCATGGTCTGGAGGACTTAGTGGCGTCATCATGGTCTGGAGGACCTTAGTGGCGTCATCATGGTCTTGGAGGACCTAGTGGCGTCATCATGGTCTTTGGAGGACCTAGTGGCGTCATCATGGTCTTGGAGGACCCAGTGACGTCATCATCGTCTTGAGGACCTTAGTGACGTCATCATCGTCTTGGAGGACCTTAGTGGCGCTATCATCAGTTCCCTGAGGACCTAGTGGCGTCATCGTGGTCTTGGGAGGAACGGGGTGGTGTCATCATGGTCTTGGAGGACCTTAGTGGCGTCATCATGGTCTTGGAGGACCTGTAGTGGCGCTACCATGGTCTTAGAGGACCCAGGCGTCATCATGGGTCTTGGAGGACCTTAGTGGCGTCATCATGGTCTTGGAGGACCTTAGTGGCGTCAATATGGTCTTGGAGGACCCAGTATGTCATCATGGTCTTAGGATAACTTTAGTGGTTAACAAGGGTCTTGGGAGGACCTTAGTGGCGTCATCATGGTCTTGGAGGACCTTAGTGGCGTCATCATGGTCTTGGAGGACCTTAGTGGCGTCATCATGGTCTTGGAGGACCTTAGTGGCGTCATCATGGTGTTCTCGGGTGTGTCACAGGGCAGCGTTTTGTGTCCACTTTCATTTCTCTTCTCACTGTACAGTAGAGTCGTGTGATAATAATCTTAATAATTAGCAGCAGGAACAGTAACAACAGGAACAAAAGCAGCAGTAACAGAAGCAACAGTAACAAAATCAGCAGGAACAGTAACAGCAGTAACAGTAACAGCAGTAATAAAAGCAGCATCAGCAGGAACAGAAACAAAAGCAGCAGGAAGAGTAACAGCAGGAACAGCAACATCAGGAACAGTAACAGCAGGAACAAAAGCAGCAGGAACAGTAACAGCAGGAACAGTAACAAAAGCAGCAGGAAGAGTAACAGCAGGAACAGCAACATCAGGAACAGCAACATCAGGAACAGTAACAGCAGGAACAAAAGCAGCAGGAACAGTAACAGCAGGAACAGTAACAAAAGCAGCAGGAACAGAAACAGCAGGAACAAAAGCAGCAGGAACACAAGCAGCAGTAACAGTAACAAAAGCAGTAGGAACAGTAACAGCAGGAACAGTAACAGCAGGAACAAAAGCAGCAGGAACAGTAGGAACAGTAACAAAAGCAGCAGGAACAGTAACAGCAGTAATAAAAGCAGCAGGAACAGTAACAGCAGGAACAGTAACAGCAGGAATAAAAGCAGCAGGAACAGTAACAGCAGGAACAAAAGCAGTAGGAACAGTAAAAGCAGGAACAGTAAAAGCAGGAACAGTAACAGCAGGAACAGTAACAGCAGGAACAGGAACAGCAGGAACAGTAACAGCAGGAACAAAAGCAGCAGGAACAGTAACAGCAGGAACAGTAATAAAAGCAGCAGGAACAGAAACAGCAGGAACAAAAGCAACAGCAACAGTAACAAAAGCAGCAGTAACAGTGTCTATTATTCAAAATTAACAAGAGAAGAAACAGTATGCGTGTTTTGTATTTGCTTTTGTTTTTCTTTTGTTTGTCTTGTATAAACAGAGTTATGAGAGCCAACCGGGATATAAAGCTCGAATGTTTGTGTTGTGAATTAATAACTGACCCCAGGTTCACAACTGTTGCCCTGATAAAACTCTATGATGCCAAGATTAAAACTGATAATAAGGGAAAATAAATCCGACTGCTTCACTTTGTTGTTGTAGTAAATAATAGCGTCTTGTGTGAGCGTCATATATGATATTTAACACAAACTTAATATAATTAGTATTTTTTTATACCTGTATTTACTACGTTAATTTTACCTATACTTTGACGATCATGTGTCTCTTCTATATAAACTATATAAACTCTTTCTTCTCTATATAAACTTTTTCTTTATATAAACTTTTCCTCCTCTCTATAAACTTTCCTCCTCTATATAAACTTTTCCTCCTCTCTATAAGCTTTCCTCCTCTATATAAACTTTCCTCCTCTATATAAACTTTTCCTCCTCTATATAAACTTTCCTCCTCTATATAAACTTTCCTCCTCTATATAAACTTTCCTCCTCTATATAAACTTTTCCTCCTCTATAAACTTTTCTCCTCTCAATAAACTTTTTCTCCACTATATAAACTTTCCTCCTCTATATAAACTTTCCTCCTCTATATAAACTTTCCTCCTCTATATAAACTTTTCTCCTCACTATAAACTTTTCTCCTCACTATAAACTTTTCTCCTCACTATAAACTTTTCTCCTCACTATAAACTTTTCCTCCTCTCTATAAACTTTCCTCCTCTATATAAACTTTTCCTCCTCTCTATAAGCTTTCCTCCTCTATATAAACTTTCCTCCTCTATATAAACTTTTCCTCCTCTATATAAACTTTCCTCCTCTATATAAACTTTCCTCCTCTATATAAACTTTCCTCCTCTATATAAACTTTTCCTCCTCTATAAACTTTTCTCCTCTCAATAAACTTTTTCTCCACTATATAAACTTTCCTCCTCTATATAAACTTTCCTCCTCTATATAAACTTTCCTCCTCTATATAAACTTTTCTCCTCACTATAAACTTTTCTCCTCACTATAAACTTTTCTCCTCACTATAAACTTTTCTCCTCACTATAAACTTCTTTCTCCTCACTATAAACTTTTCTCCTCACTATAAACTTTTCTCCTCACTATAAACTTTCTCCTCTCTATAAACTTTTCTCCCTCACTATATAAACTTCTTTTCTCCTCAATTATAAACTTTTTCTCCTCACTATAAACTTTTTCTCCTCACTATAAACTTTTCTCCTCACTATAAACTTTTCTCCTCACTATAAACTTTTCTCCTCACTATAAACTTGTTATAAAATTATCATACTAGAGGGATTTATTCCTTCCTTTATTAATTTTCTTATATTATTTTTTTCACCCCAACAGATTTACACTCGTGGTTGTGTCATTATCGGAACCTTTTCAACGCGTGGGACAGGAATCAAAGCAATTAAAAGGGAATTACTTGTTGAAACGGTATATGATATTGTTGTCAGGAGGGGAGAGGGAGGGTGGGAGGAGGGAGGCACGGTGGGAGGGGAAGGAGGGAGGGAAAGAGGGGGGTAGGGGAGGGAGGAAGGAAGGGTAGGGGAGGGAGAGGGAAGGAGGGGGTAGGGGAGGGAGAGGGAAGAAGGGGGTAGGGGAGGGAGAGGGAATAGTATAAACAAACTGGTAACATGAAGCTGTAATAGATATTCAACAAGTCTGTATAAACACACACACACACACACACACACACACACACACACACTGGACTTACATATTTATACACAGTAACACATGTACAGTATGTATTTATGTATCATAAATTTTAATATACATGCAAGTATTTTTGCATAATGGCATTAAATACCAAGCTACGGTTAGGTAAGGTTAAGGGCCTGGCATTTAATGGTAGCCACTCAGTGGGAGAACGTCACTCCTAAACAACCAGACCAACACCCTCGTGGCACTGCAAACAACCGAACTGGAGCACAACATCATGGCGGTGATTACCTCAGACAAGTTGAGGAGGGTAACAACTTGCCCAGAGCGCCGCCAGGGGAAAGTTATACCCGGTCATCCCAAACACCTCTTAACCCTCACGTTGGGGCAGCTCCTCCACAGTGTTCACAAGTCTCTTCTGAAGCAGCAAGCGGGCGGGCAGACCGACACGGCGTCTATGCTGTAGGGTCTCCGGTGGATGGCATTTGAGTCATAATGAAGATAACGACATCAAGACAAGCCAGACCACTGACTCACTGCCCAGCACACGGGATACTAGTTGATGAGAGACTAACCCTGTGCTTCTACCATGGTGTTTAGTCAAGTTCCCCACAGTGTAGCCGGTGCTGGGAGGACAACAAGCTCAATTAAGGGAAACCCAGAAGAATGTCATGTACAGGACCCAACCAGTGAACAGTGTTTTGTGTGAGGGAGACAGGGAGCCCGGGGCAACACAGCCATACAGTTCCGGTATAAGACTAGCTGAAGCCTCCACGACATTCAGATATATTGTCTTCAACTCTTTACCTTCCTGTATCTCTACCTTATCTTTTCCTGTTCCCTCTATCCCTCATCCCGTCTCACTTTCCTCTCCTCTCCCCTTTCTATATTAATTTCCATCTCCTGGCATCCATCCTCTCTCTCTCTCTCTCTCTGTTTCTCCCACCGCCGCCTGTCGTGACCCACCCGGCAGTAAGTCACACCTAACAAGACACCCCTTATAACAATGCCACCTTACAAATAATGTATATAGATATAACGTATAAACAGTAGATAAATAACGTATAAAGGCAAATAATAACAACGATAAAAATATACATAGAAGATAAATAATATACATAGGTAAATAAAATGTATAAATCCCTAAACATCTACAAAAAATACACAAATGTATACAGGTACACAAATATTCAATGCATTATCCAGTTTACAATTGGCAGGTGAAGCATATTTATATATTTCATTATATTAAATAGACATTAAACAAGTGAAAAACAACCCGTAAATAATTCAGTGTGAGAGAGAGAGAGAGAGAGAGAGAGAGAGAGGTGTGTAGTGGGTGACGCCGCAGTCCCTTCACATCTAACACAACGCCTCACCTGGTCGACGCTAATCAACATTACCTGTGACGCCTCCACGCCGCTGCCATGGCCTATCACAAAGGGGAGAGGGGGGTCAATTAGGGGTGGGGGGGGGGAGGGTAAGGAAGAAGAGATGATGATAAAAGGTGGAAAGGAGAGAGAGAGAGAGAGAGAGAGAGAGAGAGAGAGAGAGAGAGAGAGAGAGAGAGAGTATAATCATTCGTATATGATTATTATTGTTACTATTATCATCACATTATTGCTATTAACCTCATCAACCAACCTTGTATCGTCATCTCCTAGTAGTGAGGTGACCAAGTCTTACCTGTAATAAAAAGAAGCAAAGCAATTATTAAAATACAACCACGATCACTATTAACTTGGCTCATTATTATCACCATCAGTAAAAATTAACCATCGTAATTATAAAAAAATCATCATCATCATTAATCTTCGTCATCATCATCACAATCGTCATCATCATCGTCATCATCACATTAATACAAATCTTATGGTCAGTCAACATACACGAATTTCTTCTCTCAAATCCAAGACACACTCTCCCCGCCGCCCTCACACACACACACTCTCCCCGCCGCCCTCACACACACACACACACCTCCCCGCCGCCCTCACACACACACACACTCCCCGCCGCCCCCACACACACCCCCGCCCTCACACACACACCCCCAACTCTCACACACACACCCCCTGGCCCTCACGCACACCCCCACCCCACACACACTCTCCCACCCTCACACACACACACCTGCCCCCACACACACACACTCCCCCACCCCACACACACACCCCCCTGCCCTCACACACCCCCACCCTCATACACTTTAAAATAAACTACTACACCTTCTAGGAGGCAGGAAGAAGGATGCGGGTAATAAGACTTGAGGTGTGCCTGTGTGAGGACCCTCCATCGTGGCCCCTCCCGCCCCCCACACCCGCCCCCGACACCCCATCTTACACATCCTTCCAGCCTTTACTCTTAAAATAAGCACAACCTTTCCATCTTAATTTGCCTTACATCACCCAACACCCTGTTACACCTGTTACCATACCTTCCTCTACAACACCTACTCTCTCTGGCTCTGCCCACACCTGCAACCTTACATTCCTAACCCCCTCCAACACGTGTAGTCCTGCAATTTTAACTTAAGTCTACATGACCGCACATTCCACCTCACTCCACCAATCCCTGCAACCTACATTCTCACCCTTGCAACATCTGTAGTCTTGCAATTTTTAGCACACTATACACGAGACCCGTATTCACTGTCGCTCTCCCACCACTAGAGCGTCAGGCGCCGGCAATGTTGTACCCTCCACATCCTCACCTCCACACCCTCACCTCCACACACCAACCATCCACACCCTCACCTCCACACCCTCACCTCCACAACCTCACCTCCACCTCCCTCCCCACCTCCACACACCAACCATCCACACCCCCTCCACACACACCACCCTCCTCACACCCCACCTCCACATCCCAGCCTCCACACACCAACCATCCACACTCTCACCTCCACACACCAACCATCCACACCCCTCACCCTCCACATCCTCACCTCCACACACCAACCATCCACACCCTCACCTCCACACACCAACCATCCACACCCCACTCCACACCCTCCTCCACACCCCTCACCCCACATCCTCACCTCCACACCCTCCCTCCAACACCAACCATCCACACCCCCCTCCACATCCCCACCCCACATCCCACCTCCACACACCACCATCCACACCCACCTCACCCAACCATCCACACCACCATCCACCACACACCACCATCCACACCCCCTCACCTCCACATCCCACCTCCACACACCAACCATCCACACC